GGTGGTATGAAACCACTCCCTTGACTGGGGCTAGTTGTCAACCCCGTATTCTGTTTCTTGTTGGCTGGGTTGTGCTTGCCTTTCTTGAATTTAAAACCCTGCCTCTTACCACGCCATTCCGACATTGGTGTTTCAGTTTTCAGTGCTTCAATGTTTGACTCGGCCATCAATGCCCGGTCGAGAACACCCACAAAAGTCGGTAGTTTCAAAACATTTATTCGGTCAAGTATTGCAACATTAAGGCCACCCTCAAATTTTCTGGCCTTCTTGTAGTCAGTGTCCACCATATGTGGTGCATATCTGGCAAGCTCAGTGAACCTTGCTTCATATTCAGCCACAGACATTGTACCCTGCTTCAGCTGTTCGAACTCAGTCACCTTTCGATCCCTAACACACTGAGGGAAATACTTTTCAAAGAAGGACTCCTTGAACTGAGCCCAAGTCAGAACGGTATTTTCATCACGGATGAGCATCCGCCACCTTCTAGCTTCTTCTTGCAATGTAAAGGTGGCTAACAGTACTTTGTGTGCTTCAGAGCACGGGAAAACTTCAAACAATTTCTCTGTTTCCAGAACCCAAGCTTCAGCTTTTAACGGTTCGAGGCCTCCTTGAAAGGACGGCGGTTTCATTTTGCTGAACTTCTGGGTCAGAGCAATAATATCCCCATCATTCACATTCGCATTAGGTTCCAGCTGTACCGGAGGAGGAGGAGGTGGGGGCTGTTGGTTCTGTTGTTGTTCAAGTCTAGCAGTTATCAGTTCCATCATTCTTTCCATTCTTGCCTCAGTAGATGAGGATTCAGGTTTATTTGCATTGTCCATTTCACTATAAGCAGTTATAACAGTTATAGCAATTGTAACATGAACAGTTGCATATTTAGACAGTTATCAAATCAACATGTATTCATAACATAGCCACACACTTTTCAAGTTCATGAAATGCCCTAATCACTTTTCTAGGACACCCTATAGCTCATTGGACACATGTGTGCGGTATGACTCGTGGTTAAGTATCGCTCTGATACCACTCTGTCACGACCCAAACCCGGCCCGATGGGTTTAGCACCGTAACCGGCCAGTAATCCGAGATTACCGAAGGCCTAATTAACAGTAGTACAGTAAAACAGAGTACAGGGCCTGGCGGAAGCCAATACAGTAAATAAATAATGTCCATTGAGCTGTGTCAGTCTGTATGCAAAGGACTTTCATACATTCATACATAAACAGTACAGAACAGTATGCACAATATTTACAATCATTCAGACTAGGGACTTAATCCCTGCATAACAGTACGGTAACATTCAGTCTATACAGAACAGTAAGATAGTACAGAAGGGGGAAATCTAAAACACCCCTAAGCCTTAACAGATAGGCTCAGAACCTCGCAGTGAGGCACATCGGCTGGCTTGACAAAACTGGAGTAAACCTGACGCTCCTAGTCGCGGTCTGGTGCCTGCACACCTACATATATATATGAGCAGTGAGCTAAAGCCCAGTGAATAACATAGTGCGTAAAGAGGTTAAGAATGAATGTCCTTACAGTAATGAAAACAGTCCATTTAAACAGTATTTTAGTCGTTCAGTCAGTACAGTCATATGTGGTACATCCATTAGCATAACAGTAGGTGTGTTCTACATCTATATCCTCAATAAGGTGTCTTAAACTAGGCCTAAGAATGCCTAGGATGGGATGAGGATGCAAAGATGCACTTTTAAAAGGATTTTCAGAATTTTTAGAAAATCGAGTCCCGCTCGAGCGCAGGTTTCCCCGCTCGAGCGGACATGCAACAAAGGTACACGCTCGAGCGTCAACTTTCCCGCTCGAGCGTACTGTAAAAGTACTGGATGGGTGAAATCTCCGCTTGACGCCCGCTCGAGGTTGAGACACATGACTCCGCTCGAGCGCCCAATCCTCCGCTCGAGCGGACTGTAAAACAGTGCAGAGATGCTGGATGCTCGAATTCCCCGCTCGAGCGCCACTTCCCCCGCTCGAGCGGGAGTGCAAAATCTGGAAATCCCAGATTGCACCTCCAAGCTCAAACTCAAGTTTAAAAGCATCAAAACCGATCCTCTTGGGCCCATTTTCTGGAAAACTCTTATAAACACATGAAATAACATGATTCAAAACTCAATTTGAGAAATCAAAGCCCAAGGGTGTTTATTTCAAACCCAATTTCAAACCATTCTCCTGAACAAGAAGAACATGCAAACATGCATGAATTCAAACCATTTCACAGCTTCAATTTGATGCTCTAAGGAGCCAAATCTTTCAAAAACATGATGAGTTCATGGACTACTCTCAAAACATGGACATGCATGTGAAGAATTATGAACTACAACCTCAAACTTCAATATATGTACATGCATGCAACAATTAAGCTTCAACATAGCAATTTGAGCCATAGGGTGGCTCTAGACTACAACTTAGCTCTAAATCATGCAAGAATCAACTCAAAACATGAACAAGAAGACAATGGGGCTACCTTTAGTCTTGTATTTAGGATAGGGAAGCTCAATTGTGCAGAACTCCTTCAATTCTTCAAGATCTCTAGCTAAATCAACAAGAACAATTCTCTCTCTCTCTAACTCTCTTCTTGGTCGGTTAAGGCAGCACAAGGCTGATGAAATGTTGTTTAAATCAAATGCATTAAGTGTAATAAGCCTCAAAAGGTTTGAGGTAGTGGCCCACTACAAGGCTAGTTTGGTAAATAAGTCCTACTTGGCCAATTAGCTTATTTTAATCTAATTTAATCATACCGAATCACTTTTTCAATGAATATACCAGAAATTCACATAAATTACAATGATCATAAAATATCAATCAATTTCGGATTCGGCCGCCGATAAGGCCTTCAACTTACAGTCTAAACATACAAGCATGGACAGATAATCATACAGTCAAATAGATAGAACGCAATTTAACTAACATATACTCGATCAATTCGGTTTCCAATTTCAGTCAGCCAGTTCCGTATTTTATTCAGTTCAATTATCAGTCTCGGTTAACAGTAATTAGCAGTTAATCAGTCATTAATCGGTAAACAGTATGAGGGTTGTTACAATAAAACTATGACAAACTCTAGTTCTATCAAACCTTATGAACAAAGTTTCCTTATATATGCCTAAAACACAAAATTATGAAACACCAAACAGAAGCAAAATTAAAGCAATTATAGCAATTATAGTCCATTTCATTCCATATTACACCAAACATAAGCAAAATTATGAAAATCAGATTCCAAAGTAGCAAAACCAAACAATACCAAACAATGTCATTGAAATCTCAAGTTCATTTTATTTGATACAAGACACCAAAAACACTAGTCGAAATTGTAAAATGAAGATCTCTCTTTTATGACCAAACTTGTGGAACAAAAGTGAAAATAAACAAATAACATAACAGAGCAAAATTAAAGAAATTATAGCAATTATAGTCCATTTCTAAACCTTTTTTTCTCCTATTTTGTCAATCTTTATTTTGGACCTTTTTAATAAAATATTGAATTCCTTTAAACAGATTCAGATTAATAAAATATTAATAAAATATAAAATACAGTCACAGATTCAATTAAACAAATTGAATGTAAACAGATTCAGTTTGAATGTAAACAGACACAGATTCAGTTTGAATATAAACAGACACAGACTAACAGACACAAATTCATGAAATTAACTGGGCAGTGAGTGTTCAGCTGAAGCACAATCATAAAAGAAAATTTATTTACTTACCAAGTTGCCCAACTCTGAGACTAGTTTCTTTACTGTAGGCTTGAATTGCTAAATGACTAATCTCTGGTCACAAAACCTTGTGTGGAAGAATGAAGATGAGTACAAAATCAGCATTTCCGTGTAATATTTTTTCAAAATTCAAACTATAGGAAATTCAAAAAACAAATATAGCAAATTCAAGCAGAGGAAGATTGAAAATTGAGGAAGGTAGCTGGAGTTTGATATAAGCCTCTAATCTGGGCTGGTAATACTTATTTGAACATTGCGTGACTTTTTCATGACCAATATGGCATGGAGGGCAACAAATCCACTAAGATTTGGCTTGTTCATTGTCTTTCTAAATATATAATGAACTTATTTTTTTTGGGAGCCATCAGTGATCAAGTCTTCTAAAAGTCAGTGGTCAAGTTTCCCTAAATGTTTTAAATATGAAAGCACTCAACAAAATAGTTTTCTAACTATAGTTAATCATGTTGCAGGTTTTTCTTCAAGTTATGGAGTGCTTACTCAATCGTTTTAGTCAGTCAACATTTATCAATTCTGTTCTGGATACTACTTTTCTCTGTTACTTTCATCACTATTGGCGAGAACTTTCTTAAACATTTAATAACAGACATATTCATACAGATTATTCCACCTATTATTAAATTCATACCAAAATTAACAGACAGATTCATACCAAAATTATTTCACCTATTTTTTCTGAATTCCACCTAGTTGGTCAATCTAAATTCCAAACAAAACAATTAACAACAGACACAATTAGATGCCAAAACAGATTCAATAACAGACACAATATGAATTCCACACTCGATGATACTTTGTATCATTTACAAAGGAGTGTTATTTATGTGTGTCAAGCCAGAAAATGTTGCTAAGCCGTTTATGAAGTTTGATGAACAGTTCTCATTTACAAAGGAGTGTTATTTATGTGTGTCAAGCTAGAAAAGACCAATGAATGCATGGTAAAAAATGTGAGCAGGTTAAATCTAGTCAGTAATGAAACTTGTTTTAGATTGAATAAATTAATCCTTGCAATATTTTCTCTATTTGGTTATATTTTGCTAAAAAACTATTCTCCAAAATGGTAGAAGGCACCCGTCAGGGACAACAGCCCAATCAAGTTAACTTCTACATAGAAAATCTCCGAGGTGTCATGCAGCATTTAAAACCCTTAGCTAATAGGTCATCATATAAGTGTTTCACAATGATAAAAATAAGATAGAAAATATATATCAGTCACCTGATTGGAGTTCCTGGACTATAGAGTGGATTCTTGACAACCTATTCAACTTACAAATTGTAAATATACTTCAGGGAATCCCTTAGATCACCAATCCTGGGATGAGTGACGAGAATGATCTGCAAACAAATTTATATGTAGTTGTACAATGAGAACTGTGTGGTTACACAGATACCAAAAATTAGTAATGAGAGCCTGAAGTGAAGTGAATTCTTTCTTTCAGAGTAGTGCTCTTACAGGTAGTCTCATGTAAATCAAAAACTTCTCAATTTTAAGTATAATGCAGTGTAAAAATTCAAAACAAAACCTTTCTCGCAAAAGGGACTAACTTGTCATGTCAAACAAGACATCTTAATGACCTTAATCCTATCATTCCAGTCTAAAGTATGCACAGCATCACGTTGCCATTACATTGAATACATCAATTAATGTCACTGGGAACACAAGTTTTCTTATCAAAGACTTTCATATGACCTCATCACGTGATAGTCACATCCATATTTGGGAGCTCAACATACCAGATGGACTCTCCATAAAACTGAGTTTGTACGTATTGGTACGAAAGCTGTGAAATGAACACCCTTGTCCTGGTAACTGAGGCACCCCAAGATTTCCCTTCTCCGCACTGTCCAAAAGAGTCCCATGTAAATCATACAATCATTGAACACCAACCACAACCAAAATAATTAAAAACAATGTCTGGCACAACATTTGGACCTCAATGAAAAAATTAGCTCCAAATCCAAACAAGTGATGAATCATGAATCTATTACAGTGTGAGACTCCAATACCAAACAAAATATGTCTAACAAACAAATGCCTATTTCAACAAAAATTTAATCAATCTCCAAGCTAAGAATAAATATGGAGTTAATAAGGCCAATAGATGATACAGGAAGAGTTTTCTGTTACAGGAATCAACATATCACATATGGCATTAGAACCAGTTATAGTGTTTCTAATACCATCTTATGGATCCCAAAACAAACAGCATATGCATGTCAAATTATTAGTTTTCTTTGCACAACCGAAACATTTTCTGTTTTATATAATCAAATAAATTTTTTTAATTTCTATGGGAAATCAAAATACTCACGCAAACATATTATGTTTGAAATTCAAAACTTGAAGAAGCAAAACAAACCTTGTTGGATCCATTTTTGCAGTCAAGGATTTAAGGGAAAAAAGTAGACCGAACATGAGCTTGTGGTCCTGCTGGGCATTAAGGGTGTGCAGTGGACGATTCCATTCTTCTTTCCACTTAATCAACAACAAATCTAAGAAATCAACAACAATTTTGACCCAGGAAATCATATATATATAATAGGAACAAATGAGAATGATGATGAAAAAAAATCCACAACAAACCCTAAATCTTCAAACCCATAAAACTTAATTAATCAAACCCATTTAACAAATCAACAACAAATCAAACCATGTATATATATATATATATATACTTTTTGAGTTACATTCATCATCAACTTTCTACACTTTTAATTTTGTGAATGCATTACACTCTTAAAACTTTATTTAGATGCGTTTTAATAAAATGGTAAAATTAATATCACATTTCCTAATTGATTAACTAACTAACTCAATCAATATGAGTTCAGGGGTATCCTCAATTGAAAAATGCAAAAATTATATTATCAGTAACAACTTCAAAGCTTTCTCAATCAGAGGTTATGAGATTTATTGTTCCGTCAATTAATTTCTTTAAAGAGAACAAGAAGAGAAAGCATTGCTATTGATTCTAATCGTATCTAAGGTCAAGAGCAAGCTCACAGACTCTTAGGTTTCAGGAAGAATTCAGTTTACGGCAATCTCCATCATCAGTGGTGCATTTTGTAGTCATTGCTCATAGAGTCAGTCCATTATTGTGAGAAGTATACTGTTGAAATTTTTTTACTACGTATTTCCAAAATTTAAATTTTTCGCCCATGTAATCCAAATTCAGTAAATATTTTCTCAAACTGCAGTTCAAAGCTCTCAATCATGAGTAACACTCAATGAATAAGCAGCAATATGGCCATTTTTTCATATCAACAGTCTCAGCTCCCAATAAGTAATTGTCTATCACTGCAAATCAAGACCTCTCATATAATTTAGTAAACAATACTTAAAGTTCCTACCAAGAACTTAATTTAAGAGCAAAGACAACTAATCAAGACCTCTCATCCAATATTTTAGTATAACAATACTATAAGTTCCTAAAATAACTTAATTTTTGAGCAAAAAACGTTTGATGCCCTTGTTCGCAGCCACTCTTCACATTACAATGCAGATCCATACGAAACAACAAGTAGAAAGAACAAAATACCAATATTTTCCCTATAATATTTTTTGTCAAGAAGGATATTGATCAAAATTGATTTAAAAAATAATCTATAGCAAGGAAATTTTCGCCCTGATGAATTGTTATGTTCTGATTTTTGAAAGCATAGAGACAAAATTGGATGACAAAACAATCAGAAACAAGACCCATAATAAACTCATCTTCAGTTTCATAAATAGCATACACAATATCCCTAATTATAAAACATCCCACAGCAAGAATAATACAAACAAACAATTTTGGACCCAGGAAATCATATATATCACCTAATTAAATAACATCCATAGCAAAAGGATATAAAGGCCTCATTTGGAAACAGACTATTTTAGTAAATTTTTGGTTTTTTGGCTGAAATATGAGGTAAAAAAAAAACTAGTATGTTTAGAATGGCTTTTTGATTTTTTACGAAAAGATGTGCAAAAAGTAGAGAGAAAAGGAAATCTTTGACTTTTTGGTATAGGTTATAGGCTTTTTGATTTTTTTAGTAACTTTTAGGCTTTTAAGCTAAAACATTGACATGCCAAACGAGGCCTAAATATAAGTCTAGCCACCAGAGGAGTTAGAAAAATAATCTACATGGAAAATACATTATCTTCACTGAAGTAAATAATAAGAATAAGAATAATAATTTAAAAAATAAAAAACCAAATTCTTAGCTTTGACCTGCCAGTTAACTGGGTCACAGAATGAAGTATCTATGTGCTCATGTGTAGTTAAGCTGAGGCTGAGTATACATATGCATTGAAAACTAAGAATGAAGTGCAATGATTTCATGAGGCCTTGGGCTTTAGGGCAAATTATTGGATTTAGTCAAGATGCCAATGGTGGTGGATGACAAGCAATAAACTCATTCAACCTAGTAAAGGGCTATGCTCTGAGAGTCCAGAGGATTCTTTGGATTTGGAAAACCAAATTAGAAACCTTCCCAGTAGTCCTGTTCTTTGTTTTGAAGTTTTCTTCTTCCTCAAAAGCAAAATATCACTACCTACCTACCAAGGAAGGTGATATGTACCATTCTTAATTCATATCAACAAACTAAAGAAAAATGTAAGGTCATGAGAAGTAGATTTAGGCAACTTAACTGTAAAACACCGGAGAACTAGATTTATTTCCAGAGAAATGGGTGCATAAATTCTTTCTGACCAAATTTTAGTATTCAATCTCATGTGTACTGAAAAAAATGAGAATAAACTTCTCTTTTTTTTTATTTATTCATTGACCAGTTCTGAAGGGAAGAGGAATCATATGTTCAAACAGTACATAAGCAAAACCCAGTGGAATGAAGAACTGTAATTCCACACAATTCATTATATTTAGCTCCCAAAAAATCAATTAAGAACCTACACATAATATAGTAGTCTGCATAAAGTTCTGTTTATATTCAGGTTTCAGGAACTGCTTTCGTGGATTTATATGACAGATTTGTGATTAGGCAGAATGAGAAAATATTATATGGCTCTAATGTCATGACAAAAACATGAGCACCATAGAGCTTGAGAACACCAAGTGATCTGCAAGACTCAGTGTCTCAGAATATGCTCAAGTATCTGCCACCAAATACTGACTTTGGCATTCAAAAAAAGTGAAATCGGATAATTGAAAGAACTAAAACAACTCCTTAACAAGGCACATTAGATTCCAAATTATGTTCTCATTTTGCATACCATCACTATCCATCTTTAAGGCAAGATTATCACTTCTAAACAAGTTTCAATCATAATACACTAGTTTAATACCTTGCAGAAGATGAAAGTTATGACTCGGTCATTCCTGAAATTGTAACCTTGGAAGTTTCCATATCATTGACATCAATAAAGATCACTCATTACTGTTCTAGTATATAGTTTGAAATTGAGAGCAGATTCAATCCTTTGTGCACACAATCCAATTTTCCTCTGCTGGGGATTTATCATAAAATACTATTTAGTGCAAAACTACCACAGGGAAAAATAGAAGAACTCTTCTACTACCACATCCATGAGTTATTCATATGAAATATATCCATATAAAATTCATCCACCCATGCAGAATAGTAGTTTTATCTCTAGGAAAGTTTCTTCCTACAAATTTATAGGTACAAAAAATGAGAAACCTTATTATTATCAGGAAATTCTGCTTTCAAGTTCTTTAACCTCTTTCCATTTAATTGACAGGGTTGCAGGATATATGCCGCTATGTTTACACAATATAGATGATGTACAAGTGTAGACTCTTGTCAGTGACGAAACACCTTTCATGACTCTCAATTAAAGCACTCAAACCTCGGAGAAATAAATTAATTAATTAACTAAAAATCCAAAATGTATGGCATTAAGAAAATTTTACTACCATTCAATCCAAATTCTCTAGATGTGGGAACCAATTCAAGCTCTTGTAGAATTTCCAATAGAGAAAACTCAAATTCATCCACAAGAGCCTAAGAATTGAAGCAGTTTTAATTCAACAACACAAAATAGTTAACTAATGCATTTAGTTGTACTACCTTCTTAAGGAAACTAAAACCCTAAAATTGGAGTTAATCAATGAGTTCATGTTTTTCCACATACTCGTCGTACACCAAACCTAATCATTATTAAAATGCCTTTATTCTCATTGTTAATAGGTCTACAGTTTGAAATGTCCAATTAAGATGCGACGCAGAGAGACAATAATGTGTTTGGTTATCTTGGAAACGACTTTACTTGGAAATGACTTTAAAGCAACAGAATCATCTAGTAGCATATGCTGATCATCTTTGACAGTAAAAAATATTTAATGAAATTGTTGCTTCAACTTTCAGATTCATTGAAAATGATCTTGGCTTTGAGTCACATCATCATCACTTTCTACATCTTTTAATTTTGTGAATGCATTACACTCTTAAAACTTTATTTAGATGCATTTTATATAAATGGTAAAATTAATATCACATTTCTCTAATTGATTAAGTAACTAACTTCAATCAAATATGAGTTCAGGGTATCCTCAATTGAAAAATGCAAAAATTATATTATCATAACAACTTCAAAGCTTTCTCAATCAGAGGTTATGAGATTTATTGTTCGCGTCAATTAATTTCTTAAAGAAGAACAAGAAGAAGAAAGCGTTGCTATTGATTCTAATCGTATCTAAGGTCAAGAGCAAGGCTCACAGACTCTTAGGTTTCAGGAGAACCTCAGTTTATGGCAATCTCCATCATCAGCGGTGCATTTTGTAGTCATTGCTCATAGAGTCAGTCCATTATTGTGAGAAGTATGCTGTTGAAATTTTTTTACTACGTAGTTCCAAATTTAAATTTTTCGCCCCCATGTAATCCAAATTCAATAAATATTTTCTCAAAACTACAGTTCAAAGCTTCTCAATCATGAGTAACACTCAATGAATAAGCAGCAATATTGGCCATTTTTTCATATCAACAGTCTCAGCTCTAATAAGTAATTGTCTATCACTGCAAATCAAGACCTCTCATATAATTTAGTAAAACAATACTTTAAAGTTCCTACCAAGAACTTAATTTAAGAGCAAAGACAACTAATCAAGACCTCTCATCCAATATTTAGTATAACAATACTATATGTTCCTAAAATAACTTAATTTTATGAGCAAAACGTTTGATGCCCTTGTTCCAGCCACTCTTCACATTACAATGCAGATCCATATGAACGCAACAAGTACAGAAAGAACAAAAATAACCTATATTTTCCCTATAATATTTACTTGTCAAGAGGATATTGATCAAAATTGATTTAAAAAAATAATCTATAGCAAGGAAAATTTTCGCCCTGATGAATTGTTATGTTCTGATTTTTGACAGCATAGAGACAAAATTGGATGACAAAACAATCAGAAACAAGACCCATAATAAACTCATCTTTAGTTTCATAAATAGCATACACATATCACCTAATTAATAACATCCACAGCAAAAAGAATAATACAAACAAACAAAATTCAAACAATTATCAGAGAAAATATAGATAAAACAGAGCACAAGAAGCTTAATTACTTACCATGAATTGATCAAGCTCCTTATCATCGCCAATGCTACCATGGCCGAGACCCGAATACTTCCCCACCACGTGCTGCGATTGAGCGAGCT